CAACCACTATTTTATTTTATTTTTTTATTTTTTTTATTTTGAGCTAAATCAACAAAGCTTTGACTTCTGAGGTAAGGAACTTGGAAAATATGGCAGCTGAAGAAATCCACTTTGAGCTAAAGGAAGATGGCTTAGCTAGCTAGTTAGTCTCACATTAGTGCACAAACTGTTCTCTGCATTGGTTCATATATGCTTCCTTATTGAAATGGGACAATGGGTTCATAAATAATACCCCCTTGTTACCAAGGCCTCTGAAGAAGAAAGCTAATTGAATTGGGACACTACTGACATGTAAGATGGCCACAAGTTCTGAGGCATGGGCTTATGCAAGGGTCATAATAGGATACCTTATTCTTCAAAAACTATCGGATATAACACATACACTACTAAAACTTCAAAACAAACAATTCTCCCTTAATGCGTATTTAATTACATAACATTACTGCTACATTCATTATTGTACATACATAGTTGTTCTTGAATTGCCGTGACATACATAACAAACTGAAAACTCCATTTTGCTCGAACTTCTAGCTAGGTACTGATGCAGATGGTAGCCAGTTCATTGGTTTGAGTGCTCCTCGTGTTGGTGTTAATTGTCAATGGCAAACGGAACAGTCTTGGCCTGATACAAAAGTTCAAAAGGTAAAGACCAAAAATTAAAACATAACTGAGTTACTGTATAGAGAATTGCAACTATTATTACAAGCTTTATTCAAAGGCACCTACAAGTAGTACACAGTTTTTTTAATCATATGTAACAGTGTTAACACTCACCAGATCACGGAACTTCAATTTGTAGAACATCTCTATATATCTTCGGGTTTCACGCCTTTCAAGTTTTGAAACATACTTCCAGAATCCATACACCCCAGCTAGTGTCAATAGCCTTTCAGAATAAATTTTCCACGTGTACCTAAAATATATAAAAATGTCAGTGAGTTCATTAGACATACAAAACTCTTTTGTTGCTCTTCTGGTTACAGTTCCACACTTCCAATATACTTAAAGGGGGCACCAAATTCAATAAGAAAGCCACACCTTTCATAGATTCGTTGAAGCCCGGCAGCTGAGATTTTGTCCCAATAGCTGGGATCCTTTTTGCACTCCTCGTAAAATGAAGCTATGACATCAGCAGCTTGATCAGGGTGATAAGGATCAATATGGAAACCCGATATACCATGTTCAATAATCTCAGCAGGTCCTCCATGACAAGTAGCAAAAGTTGGAAGACCACTGGTCATGGCCTCCACAACAGTAAGGCCAAAGGCTTCATACAAGGCAGGCTGCAAGAAAAGCACGTTAAAAAAATAACATAAACAAGTTAGGAGATTACCATACAACACTCCACGAAAAAGGATGTACCTGCACAAAACCACCTCTTGTGTCAGCGATGTAGCGATAAAGCTCGCCATTACGTGCACGGTTCATTTGGGCAGATATCCAACGGAACTGTCCATCCAACTTATAGGTCTTGATAAGACTGTGCATCTTTTCGATCTCAGCAATTTCTTCTCGGTCATTGGACTGCTTCACGTCATTATAACCAGCAACCACAACAAGGTTTACATATTCTCTTAATCTAGTGCTTTTACCATACCATTCGACCAACCCTGTTATGTTTTTCACCCGATCAAGCCTCGCCATGGAAAAAATGATGGGCTTTGACCGATCACTCAACGTACCACTGCCATAATAGGAAAGGAAGCAGGGAGGAGGATAGTCAAGGGATTTAAAGATTTCTCTTAAAGCTTTTACTCGCTAGCCAGTAGCTCAAAATATAAAAAA